AAATAGACAACTGCTTGCAGAAGAGCCCTCGCCCAGGCACGTCAGGAGGCATCTCTACGAACTGACGGAGAAGTCCAGAGGTTCATTAAGCAACCTCTGGTCCCGAAAGCTTACAGACAGGCCCTGAACGGCATTCACAGGGACTCAGTCTCGAGTTATGTAGACTCTAGACCTGTGAATGCCGTTCTAGGCACCCAACCACCGGATNCAACTGCTTGCAGAAGAGCCGTCGCCCAGGCACGTCAGGAGGCATCTCTACGAACTGACGGAGAAGTCCAGAGGTTCATTAAACAGCCTCTGGAAAAGTCAGCATATCGACAGGCCCTGAACGGCATTCACAGGGNGCAGCAGGTTAAACTCATACCTGAGCAGACTAGACGCAGATGTGCCAAATGAGTGTCCGGCATGCAGAGAGACCACTCATAACTCGAAACATCTCTTCGTATGCCCGGNAATAACCACAATAGCCAAACTTCGCTCTGGCTACTGCAGCAGGTTAAACTGATACCTGAGCAGACTAAACGCAGATGTACCAAATGAGTGTCCGGCATGCAGAGAGACCCCTCATANCAACCACCGGACATTGACGAGACGGAGCTTCATCTGCCTCGGGAGACAATAACCACAATAGCCAAACTTCGCTCTGGCTACTGCAGCAGGTTAAACTGATACCTGAGCAGACTAAACGCAGATGTACCAAATGAGTGTCCGGCATGCAGAGAGACCCCTCATAACTCGAAACATCTCTTCGTATGCCCGGAAAACCCAACAACCCTAACGCCTTTGTCCCTGTGGACCAACCCTATTGAGGCTGCACGCTTCTTAGGGCTGCCGTTAGTGGAACTTGACGAGAACGACTGAGATATTAACCGATCTGGGAAGGTTATTGTAGCCGCTACAACAGCAACAACAACAACCGACTTTAAACTATTCTTGGGCAAGATAATGTTTTTGTGGCGATTGTCACTAACAGGTCGATTCTTTAAAAAATTGTCTAACCCTGACAGTTCTTCTGGCGGAACGAGATCATNGTTAGTGGAACTTGACGGCAACGACTGAGATATTAACCGATCTGGGCGAGCTTTTTGTAGCCACTACAACAACAAAAAAAAACAACAACAACAACCGACTTTAAACCATTCTTAGGCAAGATAATGTTTTTATGGCGATTGTCACAAACAGGTCGATTCTTTAAAAAATTGTCTAACCCTGCAAGTTCTTCTGGCGGAACTAGACCATTATGCAACGGTCAAATCCGTTCAGATTCTAGCTCATCCAGCTAATACATATCATTACCTTAACCGAGAAAAGCCCTAACTCATTTTCTTTTGAAACCCAGCTTTCTAGAAAAGTCGGCAGATTACTAGCTAACTCAGCTCATCTACAATCAGGGTGGGGTGCCTTTTAGTTTAGTTTGTCACAGGAGTCTGGCGCGAAGAAATCTGCCTGATTTTGCTATTACGTGCTAGTGCTAGTGCTAGTAAAGGCCTCGGCCAAACATGCTTCTAGGATATCCAGAGGCAAATTTGTACCTTACACGCAAACTCTGTGATGTTGAGGCTGTGAAGATATCGATTATGGCACCTCCATTTTCTCATTACTTATTTTAGCGGCAAACACCATTACTGAATCGGAATTTGTAGAAAAAACCTTGGTCCAACGATTTGTAGCCAACTTTATGTTTATTATTTGTATAGGTCTTTAAAGGTGCTATTTTATTTTAATCCCTTATTATAGAAAAGAAATCCTGCTTCTCTGAGAAAATATCTTCAGTCTGCGGAATGAGCTTGAAAAATTGAAATTAAGCGTGATAATATAAATTTTTAAAATTTTTACAAAGACTTGTGTAGACCAAATTCGGACCTTGTTTCCTATTATATTTTAATCAATAACGCTTGGTACCATTTTAGAAGGTGGCACAGTGGTGCTTTTTAGCAGGATAACTCTCATATCAATGCCAGCCTAGGATAAGACTTTCATCAAATTCTAAAATTTTTTCAAAATATTTTAGTTTTTGTACTTAGTTTTGTAAATGTGAAAAATCTAAAATTTTGATCCACGCGTTTGCACAGTGGTCGGAGAAGCCATGTTTTACGCGACAAATTAGAAGGGCTGCCGGATCGTAGTATTTTTGTTATACCATGCCCGAAAACGCCATAAAATTTATAGTTTGAAAGTTGACAGCTGTCAAATCAACTGCCAATTTCTCTAGAAATAAAAAAAATATTTTTGAAAATACCACTGATTAGGTTTTTAGGCACGCTAGACACGATATTTGTCGAATTAAAACTTTGACAGTTGACAGGTGTCAAATGGACTGTAATTTTTTTGATACAAATAAAGCAATCTTTTTAAAAATGCCGCTGATTAGGTTTTTAGATATGCTGGTCACGAATTTTATGTCAAATTAAAATTTTGAGAGTTGGCAGCTGTCAAATGGACTGTTAGTTTTTCTAAAATAAAAATATATTTTTTAAAATGCTGCTGATAAGGGCTTTAGACACGCTAGTCTCGATTTTTATGTCAAATTAAAATCTTGAGAGTTGACAGCTGTCAAATGGGCTGTCAATTTCTCTAGAAATAAGGAAATAATATCCCAAGAATTAAAACTACTAGGTCTTAACGCTCACTGATCTCGAGTTCTATATCACACTCAAACTTTCATATATGTATTACGATTTATTGTATTCGAATCGAATTAAAATGAATTGGCAACCCTATTTCAAAATTCGTTAGTTTAAAACTTTTTCCAACATTATTCTTATGCTATAAATAGTGTTGTATTTTAAACGTTAAAAAATATTAATTTTTTCTCTGGGTGGCAACTCCCTTTTAAATTTTCAATTGAAACCGGCTTGAATACCTACAGTTTGATAAATTACACTTTTTATTGCAATATTTTTTTTTTTACAATTTAATTTTGAAATAGGTGGCAACTCTGGTAAAATAGATGGACTTATTTAAAAAAAAATTTTTGTTCAGGATTTATTTTTCGCTTTTTGGACTGTATGATTTTCATGATCCTTCTGATCATCCCTGTGTGTCAAAGGTTACTGTTTCATTATATTTATTATATCATTTTATTGAAATAAAATGATCACCGAACTCTCCCAATTGCAGCTAGTAAATTAATTTTCCTTCTTTCATTCGCCTATTTACAGGACGCTCCAACAAATCCGAACGTCAGGATGTCACCGATGTCATGATGAAAAATCAGCAGCAGCAGCAGCAGCAGCAAATTCAAGTCCAAAATCATTCCAATGCCATGTCACCACAACGTTCATTATCCGCAGCTGCATCGTCCACGTCGTCGTCTGCGTCGACAGCAGCATCCACAAAACGTATCTCCTCAAGTATCTCCGTGCAATTGCCAGCCGCTGGCTTAGGCTCACGCCCACCCAGCATCATTTCTACAAGCACCAGTCTCGACGAGGGTGGCTTCAATGAACCCTCACCCGAGATCAAAGCCAAACTAAAGCCCGCATATGACTTTGAAACGGTCAATGGACGAGCGGTGAGTGGCATGAGTGCCGACATCGACGAATGCGACCGCAGTCAGCCAACAGCGAATGAGGAGGCAGAGAAGCCCAGTTTGAATTATGTTGATGTGGGCTATCGTCTCAACCCGGATGGTAGTGAATCGCATGAGGTTTTTGGCGAATCCGAGCTGTACGACACGGCTAAAGTGACTGAAATGCACAAGAAATTCCATGCCAACGGATTTGCGCAAGAAACGACGACTGTTTATGCGACCATAAAAACTGAGGTAACAACAGCTGCCGTTGAGCTGTACTACCCAGGTGGGAAGCTAGCTAAGGAGAGAGAACGAGTTGGAACTAGCCTATTGCATTCGCCCACAAAATCTATTGGCAGCGGTATTGCCGGCCTCAGTGGTTCACCGGTGAAATCGGCGGCGATCTCGTCACCGCCAGTTGGTGTGGTTTCGCCCATACGCCGACGCAGCTCAGATGTGAGTGTGAAGTCAACACCGCCCATCTCGCCAACATCAATCGGCAGCGGTAGTGGCAGCTGCAGCGGCACCGGCACCGCAAATTCGACATCGACCAGCAATACGCGCTCAATTCCGTCGATTGCTGTGGCAGTGGCGGGCAAGGGGGTGGTGACACCCATCGCCTCGCTGGCTGCACAGGAGGAGGAGTTCGATAGCTCTGAGTTGCCGGCATTGCCTGAGCGACCACCACCATTGAGTGCAGTACAACACGCCACTATAGCGACTGCAGTCGGCGTTGGTGGTGGGCCATGTAGCGCTTTAGATATGCAGGATCTGGAGTATGCAGACAGCAGTGCTGGGGAAGATGAAGATGATTTGATGCGCGCAATTGAGGACGACATTGATGACGACGACGAAGTGCTGCAAGTGGAGGTAAGCGAAGCAACGCTGACGACAGTAGCCGAGGAGGGTGAGGAGGAGGAAAAACAGACGATTGTTGTGGCAGCGGCCGGTGCGGTGGCGGCAGATGTAGCAATACCGCGCGAGGACAGTCTACCGGATGACATGACTGCCGACGAAGCTGAGCGACTGTTGAGCTCGAGGTGAGTGTAAATTGAGAATGAAAATGAAAATAAGTACATTTTTGGCATGCTTGAAAGTACGCAGAGATAGTGAATAGAATTTTGAAAAGTAGTTTAAAATTTATTTATTTAATTAAAGACAATTATTTGTAGCTAATATATTTATTAATGCATACAGTGTAGTCTGGCTGGAATGAACCACCGCCGCGCCTAACGTCCCGAAAGAGTGAACATTAATGTGTCTACTGCTCTGGCGAGTGAACAATTGCTAGTTGGCGCAGAGGAAGTAAATTTTATAGTGTTATTTCGAAAAAAATTTTGTTGAATTACCTTGCTAAAATTAGTTCAATTTACCCAGACTAAACTGTACTTATATATTGACTATTAACGTAGTCAGCATTTGAGCAACCTTTTTTAGTGTATTTTAGTCTTATCAATAGCAATTACTTGTATCTCTTCCGCTGTTTGAGCCTTTTTTCGATACGACCAGAGAGTTATTATAGAGAGTGGAGATCTCACGATCCAAGTGGTATCACAACGGGCCCACAATTACAGTCCTAGGTTTGCTAGTGGGGCCTACTGGTAGCCACTTTAACCTAACCTCACATATAGAGCTAAATCCTTGGTTTATGAAGCATTCTTAAACATAAAAATTTCCTGAAAGTTTCGTGTACCAGACACGCTTACTAGGGTATGCCATCCTTAAGCAGAACTCGTTTGTGAAACACACTTGACTACAATCAACATCTACATTCTATACGTCTAATAAATTTTATGTTATTTTTTTATCTCGTTTTTATGCTTCAACCATTTTTGAAATCAACCCACTATCCTCCTCCGCTTTGTAGTATATATGTAAATACATGTGTAGTACATACAGTGGCGGTCAAAAGTGGATGAATGGTGTTTCGTATTTAATATTTACAATGTTTTTAAAGCTATGATTATTAATTTTTTATTTTTTTTATAAAAATATGGTTCGTACTTTAAGAAAGACCATATAAATCACACTTTCAAACTATATACATAATTTAGAAAAAATCCAAAATCTTTACACTAAATTTCGAGCTTTCTAACCTGAATTGTTTTTAATTTTTTGGGTAAGCAGTTAAAATTAGTGCAAGTTTTGAGCGGCAAAAAATCGCATTGATTTTTGATATTTTATTTTTGTTGAAGGCGTTTTGAACTTTTATCTTTTGCGAAAAAAATAAAATAATAGTGTTGGGAAGTATCGAGTACTTTTGAGGATCGAGTTCTTAGGTATCGATATTTTTCAGAGTACTGAGTACTTTCTTTAAATATACAGATGTTGGTAACAATTCAATACTTAGTGTAGAAATCTCACAAGCTGGCAATATTTTATTCAAATTAATATATGAATCCCAAATTACGTCAAATGAATGGCCAACTGCGCTGGGTACAAGTATTGTACTTGAAATTTATTGAAACTGCAAATTTAGTACAATCATTTCTGAATACCGTTAAATGTAAATAAGTAAATAAAACTCAGTACTTCTTAAGACTATTCGACACTTAATAATGAGTACTTTGAATTGATCCTGAGTACATGTACATGTGTCAAAGCGATTTTTGGAACAGAGTATTTTTGAGTTTTGAGTACTTTTGAGTTCTTTAAGTTCTGAGTAATTTCGAGTTCGTTTGTGGGTACTGGGTTCTTTGGATTACTCAGTATCAATACTTCTAAGGATCGGGTGCTGTCGATCCTTTTGAGAATCGAGTTCTGAGTACTTTGGGATCGATACTGCCCAACACTAAAAAAAGTCAACGCCAGTTTTCCCTTTAAAAAGCGAATTAAATGACAAAAAAAAAAACAAAAAAAAAAAAAAAACGAAAAAGCCATCAGCAAAAAAATGTGATTTTTTAGCCGCTCAAAACTTGCATTAACTTTACTAAAATTTTATAATCCTGTTAACTGCATACTAAAAAATTTAAAAATATTCTGGTTAAAAAGCTCGAAATTTAGAAAAAAATTATGGATTTTTTCTAAATTCTGTATAAAGTTCGAAAGTGAGATGTATATGGGTTTTGTTAAAACATGAACCATATCCTTATAAAAAAATATCAAAAAAAATTTAGCTAGAAAAACATTGTAAATTTAAAAAACGAAACACCATTCATCTATTTGCGACCACCACTGTATGTTCAAAGATTTAATTTAGCAATGACGCCTAATCTTATACGTTCCGAGAGCCCCAGCTTTTCCAAACATGCATTTAATTTAACAGATATCAACGGATAGACGTATGTATGTACACTAGGGTGGTAAAAAAAAAAGAAAAAGTAAAATCGGAATTTTAATGCTCTCAGCCCCTAGGATAGTTCAAGACCGAAAAACATTATACCCCTGTTTTTTTTTTTATTTTGAAATCAAAAAATGTTTAGAGGTCACACAAAGCGCTCAAAATTTTCCTTGTATTTTATATGGGTGAAAACAAGTTTTCGTAGAAAATTTATAGAATTCATGAAACGCAATATTTTTCGATCGGAAAGCTTTGTTTCTGTTCAGGATACTTCCAGTTACTATACCCTGTTATTTATTTGACCATTTTCTCATAGTAACTATTTTTTATACGACCTCTAAAAACCTCAAAAAATGAGTGGGGTAAAAATCGGTAGTTTTAAAAAATTTTATAATAAACAATAGGGAATTATTATCGGCAGTCTCATGAAGAGAAACAAAAATATTGATTTTCAAGAATTCTATACCATTTCTCCGAAAAGTTGTTTTCTTCCCATATAAAAATATATACAAAATTTTGAGCGCTTTGGGCAACCTTTATTTTTTTTTAATTTCAAATAAAAAAGCATGGGGTATAATTTTTTCGGTATATGGATAATCTTAGGGTATGCGATCATTAAAATTCTGACTTTGCTTAATTTTGGGCCACCCTAATTTACACATATATACATTTGTATGTATTCGCATATGTTGGCTGCCACTGAATGCAAGTGCGTTAGAATTCACATTTAAGTTATCTACTTGCATATGTGGTACTTAGCATTATGCATATGTGTACTTACATACATATTTCTCATAATGAATTAGCCTTTTAAATAGCGTTTAAAACTTTTACCAAAATTATTTTATGCAACCCCTCAATGGATATGCGAGTGTGCACATATAAGTACACCCATGTGTAGAAATAAATATCTGGGTAAATACTTATGTGTGGACGAGTATATCCGCTTCTATGCTGAGGCTGAATAAAAGTGCATAATTCAAGCCAGATTGAAAATTAATGATTTGTGGTAGGAAGGTGAATGCACATACATACATACATAGAAACTACATATGTATGTGTTTGCATTTTTCAAATATGTACAGATTTACCTACTCATAAGGCTCTCAAAAGCAAGCTATATATATGTATGTGTATGTAATATTCTTAGCGTTGCATTTAGATAATACCATTTGAATAATTTATGTGCCGCATTTTGTTCAAAAGGTGAAACGAGACATTTTATGCGCTCAGTAATAGTAGTACACGAGTGTTTGTTCTTGAGCCGCTAAGAGTGCATTGATAGAAGCATACTTAAGGGGGCGCTTCAACAACGCTTGTACAGTTTGTGCTAATGAATGGAAATTTGCTGAATGTGTTTTTTTTTGTTTGTTTTTTAGGTGTCGTGTTGTGGAAATGAATTCTTAATTTTGTGAAATTGTGAATCTTTTAACTGAACTTTGAATGAAAAGTACCAAAATATCGGCAATTTTAAGCTGCCCCCGAAAGACAGTTGGTTTTTAACCGACTTCCAAAAAAGGTGGAGGTTATCAGTTCGTCGGAATATATGTATATATATATTTTTTTTTTATGTATGTTACCGCATAACTTTGGACCACGTCAACCGATTTCGATAATAATAATTTTTGCATCGGAAAGGTAGTGTCTCAGAGGTGGTCCCATACTAATCTGGTTGAGATCCGATCAGTGGATCATGAGATATATATATAATATATATATATTTTTTTATATGGGGGTTGAAGTCGGTTTTTTTTTTTGCTAAAAATTACTTGTCAGAGAAGTGGGCCATGATTAAATTAAAACTGACCGGAAGTTCATTTTTTTTTAAGACGATATACATGTTTTTACCACAGGTTCGTATTCTGCGCATAAAAGTACGTAATTTTTGTTTGAAACTTTTTTTTTTACGGAAGTGCCTTTTTCAACCTCTAAATTCGAACTTCATCAGCTCGTCCTGGTTTTCTAAAATGGACGAAAATGTTTTTATTGGAAAACGAAGAAATAAAAATCACCAAGTCGGGAATGCTCTATCTTTTGGTCGTATTACCGTCTACCGGTTACGACCGGAAGTGGGCTTAACAGACCGGAAGTTTTTTTCAGAAAAAAGTTTCCGACAAAAGTTATGTGTTTTTGTTTCGGCAGAATATGAATCTGTGGTAAAAGCATTTACGTCCCATTAAAAGAAAATGGACTTGCGGTCAGTTTAACCCACTTCCGGTCGAAATCCAAAGTCGTTAATACGGCTAAAATATAGAGCATCCCTGACTTGGTGATTCGAATTTTTCGATTTCCAATAAAAGAAGGTGGTCTAGGGACACCCTTTATANATATTAACCAGTTTTGATATTTTTTTTCATCATTCAATTTTAATTATGTTTTTTTTTTTATAAAAAGTTTGTTCATTGTATAACATTTTTTTCATTATTTAATTTTAATTATTATAATTTTTTTTTTATAAAAACTTTGTTCATTCCATAACAAAACCATATAAAT